AACCCAAAAGGTATCGGGCTCATAGTTATATAGGGTGTATAGAGGGTCTACTGTAGAGGCCTTGCTACCAAGGAAGTTTAGATTTGGGCTTTAGCATTGCTTTCTCTGGTTCGGAAGCTATGTTGGGCCCTTGTATAGGTCGTACCTAGTTTACAGCCAGTGTAGAGGAGGCAAATGCGGATTCCAGAAGGATATCTAACAGTCACGGTTCCTCTCCCTGGAATATGATAGGGCCCATCTTGGACTACACCAGGACTTGTTAGCATTGAAAGAATTTGCTGCCTCCACTTCTGTTGAATATTACCTATTTTGCACTGGCAAGCAGAGTCTATTTGGGGTGTGCAAGTCTATGTTGAGAGAAGGGTAAATGCTATCCCGAGTTTGCCTGCTGTCCCGCAATGGTCATGAGTCATGATACTTTTCTGCAAAAACACTTGCAAGTCCCTACAAAATGTAGCACAAACTACAAGCCGCAAGATCACCTTAAACCTATGCATCCTAGATGCCCCTACATAACCCCTATGCCCCTTTATCCCCAGATAGTCCCCATGTAGTCCCCATTGCTCCCAAATAGTTAGTCGCTACATAGTCCCTACATATCCCTATGTGGTCTATAAACCCTAAACCCTTAACCCTATAAACCATTTAGCTTAAACCCTAAGCTTTCCTAATCCCTCACCCATGAGCCTGGGCTAAGCCTGGACTTGTCCTGAATGTCCTCCGTGAGGTCCAACATCTGCTGCTTGTGGGCCTAACACAGAAAGCCGAAAACCACATTAGGGTTTCGGGTGTAGGGTCTAGGATTTAGGGTTTAACGTTTAGGGTTTAGGGTTTAAATTTGGGGGTTTAGGGTTTAGGGCTTAAGGTTCAGCGTTGAAGGTTTAGGGTCTAGGGGTCAGGACTTAGGCTAGGGCTTACACACGGTTGGTGGCAGGATGGATGGCGGAAATCTTGCACCATCCTATTTAACCCCTAAACCCTAAACCCTAAACCCTAAGCCAATGATGGTAATTGCAATTCTTTGGGGGTACTGCGTGGTGCAAGGCTTCCTCGACACTAGGATTATATGGGGATAATGGAAAATAAAATGGAAACTATTATATGATTATATGTCTTAGGGTAAATATTCGGGTCATATAGGGATAATGAAAGAAAATGGAAACCACTATTTGGGGTCTAGGGTTTGGGAGCCTTAAAGGGACTGTATAGTATGACCCGATGATGACCATCTCAGGGGCTTCGGGTGCCCAATTAGTGGATTATAGGGTTAAAGCTTTAGGGTTTAGGGTTTGGGGTTTGAGGGTAGGGTTTAGGGTTTAGGGTTTAGGGTTTAGGGTTTGTTTTGCCTCTTTGGGTTGTAACCACCCTGAACC